TTACTTATCCACAGAAATCAACAAATTGGTGAAATTTATTCCTTATCAGGTTAGTGATTGGTGTTGAAAAGCTTTCTGTTTACAAATTACATTTTGGATTGCAAGCAATACGAAATTAACCTAAATAGTACGCTCTATGTAAGGACATAATCTTAATAATGTACAAGTCTGAAGCAAAAACACACCTGTCAGTGTTAAAAATGCCAACTTGACCAATACTAGCCTATAGCTTATTCTAATTTATTTATTAAGCTTGCCCTAAAAAATATAAGCAGAGTCGCAATTCCTCTTTCTCTCAAAGCAAGACTTTGTATTTTCTAAATATAATTTACACTTTCGTTGAGAGGCCATTGTTATATTGAAATCAAAAGTATTTATGCTGAATTTTTTATTATATTGAATAACGTTACTAAACCTATTATGTTGAATGCTGACGTTATTTTTGCATTAAATAGATGTTTTTAAGGATAAATGCTATTCTATTTATTTTATAAAAACCAACAAAACAGATCTGCTTTATTAACTAGTTTGCACTTATATAAATGTATATTAAAAACGAAAAAGAAATTTTACATTCATTTTACTCGTGTTCATTTAAGTAATGGAAAATTATCAGATTGCAATGCTAGGGGATGCAGTTGTTCTTCCTAGTATGGCAATCCGTTCATTCCCTCCAAAGAAACCTATTTGTTTCTACGTATAATCTTAAAAATTAATTCCTTGTTTATATATTATTGAGGGCACATCATTGTAGTAGGTTAAACACGTATGTTGAAAATAAAGTTTTTAAAAATAAATCAAGAAGTGAAGTTAATTTATTTCTATGATTATTTGAAGGTCGTGAGATGCGGTCTTGTGTGATTTAGGTTTAGAAAACATTTTCTTTATTGTGCCAACGTTTCGATCTTTATTTAGATTATTTTCAGTTCTCAAAGTGTGTGTTTTCTGTGCAGATGTGTCACGGTTGTGTCGTCTTGCGAGTGTTTTAATGTCTATGTTATACGCATATTCGTACATCTATATGTATATATATCGTATATTTATATATAACAGATGTAGAAGTAATGTTCGGGGTGCGTAGTGCACTGCGCTCTTTGAGAATGATTTATCCACCGTTCTATAGTTATATCGTACCGGTGAGTCTTAGTTCATCAAGAAATTTGATCAGTAGGCCCGGAATCAGTGGGTGAATTTCAACTGCTACATTGTACCCATCCTAAAACGATTCCTCCTGCGGGCAAATGTGGCGACACAGTGTGTTGGTGTCTCCTCTGTTCTTTACAGAGTCTGTCCTGTTGTGTTGTACTTATCTTCTTCAGAAGTTCATTCAGTCTGCACATTGGAAGTTTTCAGTCTGTCAGGGCTCGAACCTTTTTATTGGTTCCTTTGATTTATTCTGTTGTTTTTCCTTCCAAAGTTAGCTAGAAGTATTCTAAAGCAAACATTCATTAATATTATTTTCGAACGCCTAAGGAATGCATCTCTCCGCCCATTTTTTCAAGAAACCCATACTTGTACACCGACAGTAGTAAAGAAAACTGGAAATATCTAAAGGTTAATTCAAATAACAGCGATTTATCGTTGTACCAATGGACGTAATCTAATCCTCCAAACTCGGTTCTTAATTTTTCTTTATTATTTTGTTGTTTTAATAATGAAATAGATTTATTTTTTTGAGTGTATATGTTTTAACATCAAACAACTTTAGCATACTCCGTGTAAATTTTGTTTATTACTGATTACATTTTGATTCATTGATATAAAATATAGATGCCAAAATTTGTCAAATCATTCAATCATTTTCGTCATCCGGTTTTCCATGTTTGTCCGATTATTATTGGGTAGTTAAAAAAGAATCAATTAGTAGAGCGGCCGTCAATTTCAGCTAAAAAAATGCATCCAACCAATTTGACCCTTGAGTTTATTTAAATAAGGGTTCGAGCGACACGTGTGCCGCTGTCTCTAAAAGGCCTCTCAGGGGGATTATGTGCTCCCATTAGTTAACACTAACTAGGATTAATATTCCATACAGGAGAGAAAAAAAAGCCTAAAAGAGGATGAAAAATAACCGAAGGGGATAAAAAGGAATTCAAATTTTTCTTGGTTTCTTGATAGTACGATAATATTTAATGAAACCATTAAATTTTCATAAATTATTTTTATTTCGTACTGTAGAAATTCACCCGTGTGTTCTGAGATGATTCAATTAGTCAAGTTTGGAGAAAGAGTTTCATGTTTTCCGTCTTGTACAAACGCGTGAAATATTTATTGACTTTAGACAAGTAATTATTCTTTAGTAATTATTTTACAGAAATGATTAACTAAATAAAATAACACACTTAATTTTTTATTAGTTTTTATTGACAGAAAAGTAAACTATTCAATTTCGACTTTGCTGGCACAAACAAAAATATATTGTTGACTTTTTCAACACCATTTGCATAGAGTACACCATCTAATTTATTAATTATTTCCGTATTATTTAAAAAATACTTAGTGATGTATAAAGTTTTAAGCAATGTGGAAAGGGCAAAATGATAAGAAACGTGTAAAATTATCCTCTTCATTAGTATCTTTTTTCCATTGTACTACATCTATTTATAAACACTACATTCATACAGATAAATACATTCATACACATAAATACNTTTTTATCTGCGGAGGGATGCCGTCAGCAATTCCGTTCACCGCCACTAAGAAAAGCGCAACGCTCATCACCGAACCCTGGGGGATGCCGTTCTCTTGAACGTGATCCCCAGAGAGCACGGTACCCAGCCTGACTCGGAACCTGCGGTTCTCCAAGAAACCCCGGAGAAACCTCGGCAACTGACCTCTTAGACCAAAATCGTGACACTTCCGTAGTATCGCGTATCTCCACGTCGTATCATACGCCTTCTCAAGGTCGAAGAACACAGCCAGAGCGTGTTCTCTGTTTAGGAACGTGTCCTGAAGGTCGCCCTCGAGAAGACATGCATGATCTACCGCAGAGCGATGTCTACCGAATCCCGCCTGATACTGGCTGTAAAATCCCTTCGTCTCAAGGTACCAGGTCAACCGACCATTTACAATGGACTCCAGGATCTTACTCAGGCAGGTTGTCAACGAAATCGGTCTGTAGCTCGAAGCCAAGCTTGGTTCCCTACCCTCTTTAAGGATAGGTATGATGAGCGCCTCTCGCCAACGATCGGGGTACGAGCCTGATTCCCATATGTTGTTGAAAAGGTCCAACAAGCGACGCTTCACACCCTGGGGAAGGTGGTGAAGCATCTCATATGGGATACCGTCACACCCGGGGCTTGAATTCCGGGTGCGCCCCAACGCAGACTCGAACTCTCCCATCATCAGGGGCACATTGTACGCTTCACTTGTTCCGCCGTCGAAGTCGATTGTCATGCGTTCCGCCTCGGTCTTTCTTTGCCGAAAGCTATCGGAGTAGGCTTCGGAGCTGGATACCGCGGCAAAATTCTGCTCTAGTTTTTCGGCCACCTCCGAAGCTTCTGTCACGCTCCCATGATCCGTGCTTAAGATAGGGACCGACGGAGGTTTAGATCGGCCAGAGAGGGCTCTGACCCTGTCCCAGACTTTCCTGGCGGATGTATGGTGCGTCATTTCTGACACATATTTCGCCAGGCTTTCTTTTTTGGCCTGGGACAAGATACGCCTCTCCCTAGCCCTTTGTACTTTAAAATTATCAAGGTTTTCCTCCGTCGGATGTCTTCTGAAGCGTCGGAAAGCTCGCTTCTTCTCCGCGCGTGCGCGGCCACAGGCGGCACTCCACCAGGAACCCGAGGTCTACAAATAGACCCACCGGTCCTGGGGATAGATCCGCCTGCGGCGCGATTGATCTCCCTCTCAAAAAGGAGGAGATCGTTGTCGACATTCCCTGTTAGGTCGGGTGCCGACACCGACGCGGAGAAAAGCTCCCAATCCGCACGCTTCAGGCTCCACTTCATGGGCGCATGATACATTCCTCTCGAGAGGGAACTCCTCAACACTATGGGGAAGTGGTCACTCAGATGAGGATCCTCTAACGGAGCCCATTCTATCCGGTTGGTTAGGGAAGGTGAGGCTAATGACAGGTCTATCGCACTATGGTTGCCTGTTCTGAAATCAATGTGTGTAGCAGCTCCGGTGTTTAGGAGGACCAGATTGGACTCTCCGATTAGGTCCCCCATCTCTCTGCCCCTCGCGTCGGTGCGCAACGACCCCCACCATGTGTTGTGCGAGTTAAAATCGCCCAACACCAACGTTGGCGGGGGAAGTTGCTCGACCAGGGCAGAGACCCCACTTCTGTGCCACGGTCCACCTGGAGGTAGGTAGATGGAGCACAGAGTGAGATTCATAGGCGCTGCGATTCTCACGGCGACCGTCTGGATGTCAGTGTTTAGCCTCACCTCTTGAACCGATATGTTTTCTCTTATTAGGATGGCTACCCCTCAATGTGCCCTACCTCCCGGATCTGGTTGCACCTCTTTAGAGAAGGTGTTGAATTCCCTCAGTTCGAGGCGCCCCCCCGGGCGGATACGGGTTTCCTGGAGGACGATAGCCATCGGTATGTATTCCCTAACCAGTAACTGTAGCATGTGTCTTTTATTGCTTATACATCTACAATTCCATTGTAGAATGGACTCCATTATTCGCTATCTTTTGATTTTTGTTTTCGCAAATTTGGTCTGGGTCGGCCTTTCTGCCACCCCTTTTTCCTTCGGACGGGGCCATCAGTGGCAGTTGAAGAGGTTTCGGACCCAGACGTTGCTTCTAGATCCGTGACCCAGTTAAGGCGTGAGGAACCGCCCGATGGTGTGGCTGCCGCCACGGGTGGCGGCAGTTTCGGTGGGGGCATGGTCGTCCCCGGTTTGTTCGGCCCCTTTTTATTGTTCGCCATTGGGTCCCTCACCGGGGACGTTTGGGAAGAGGATGTCACCATCCTCTTCTGGGGTTGGATGGCATCGGCCACCCTTTGTTTTGCATAGAAGTGGGGGCTTCGACGGCTTCTCCTTTTAGGGGAGGGGCCGCCGGGTTTTTTTCTGGGGCCTTTGCACCCCGAGTGGGGACGCTGCCGTCTGGGCATACGTCCCCACAGTGCGCTTGCTTTCGATTACTGCCCTAGCCTCTCGAAAGCTCATTCTGTTCATTACTTTCATTTTCTGAATCTCTCGTTCCTTCGAGAGGATAGGACAGCTTGCCGATCTGCTCATGTGGCAGCCGCTGCAGTTCACGCATGTGGGAGGGTCAGCGCACCCGGATTCTTTTGTATGCGCCTCTCTGCCGCACTCACAGAACTCTTGCGGCGACTTGCACCGCAGGGATATATGCCCAAATCGTTGGCATCTGTAGCATCTCTGAGGGCTCGGGATGTATGGTCGGACCTTTAATTTGTAAAAGGCCGCCCTTATTTCCTCTGGGCATATTGGTGTGTCAAAAGTGAGGATTAGGCTCGCAGATGGGACAATTTGTCCGTTCCTGCGTGTATTCATCCTTCTCACCTCCAACACACCCTGGTCTTCAAGGCCTTCTTTTATGACGTCAATACTACTATTCATGAGGTCTCGGCATATTACTACCCCTCTGGAGGTGAGTACACTTTTGGTGAGGGGTAACTTCGACCTCAAGTCCTGCAAGCGTCTTTAGTTGTTTTAGCATTTCTTCCTTTTATCTGTCTGTTACACCAATACATATCTTTCCCTCTCTACTCTTCGTGATGGTACTTGTGACTCCCAAGATTTCTTTTATGTTCTTGTACAGACGGAAGGGGCACGTGGATTTGAAATCGCCCTCTTTCCTTGTCACATTGTAGTAGCGCGTTTCGTATGTCTCGGAGACCCGGAGAGAATCCCCATGGTTCCGAGACCAAACGATGCGATACCTGCCGATTGTTTGTTCGTTTTTTCCTTCTTTCTGTTTTTAATTTCTTGTTCTTCTTCTTGCTTTCTTTTCTTCTGTGCCGGAGACACAGGGGACACAGGCGCAGGTTTCTCTCCCACCGTTACGCCTTTTGGCGAGTTTGGGGGGTATCTTTTTCTTTTCCCATGTATGGGGATGAATCCGTCATTCTCCATCTCACAGGGAGGAGAGGGTGGTTGTAACGGGATTGATGAGGGTGGTGGGGTGGAGCATTGAGGGGGTGGAGTACGGGATGTTGGGGGGCCTTCCGGATTTGCACAAAGCAAATCCAGTTGAGGGCTTGGGGAAAGTGTTGGGGTAGTTGGGGTTATTGGGTTAAGGGGGAGTGTGGTTGGGCTGGTTGGACCCGGGCTAGGCGGAGTGGGCACTTTTACTCCTTGATTTTCTTTTTCCATTTTCATTTTTCATTTGTATGTGTGTGGTCTGTAGAATTTGTTTGTACATTGTGAGTGCAATTCTCAACCTTTGGGGACGATCACCCGGCCCACCCAGGTGCTTCTCCGATCGTCCTCCATCCCGCGTGGCCTCAGGAGGGCCCGCCGCTATGCCCAGCACGGTAACCATCCAGTCGCCAGCTGGTAGTACTAGGCACCGCAACATTATACACGAGGTGATAGGACAGCCTCCCCGGTGGCTATTCCGGGGTTCGGGTCCCTGTACTACCTCGCTGCCCGGGAGTGCCGTAACCGTTTTCCTCCGGTACCCTCGCAGGAGGAGGGTTCACGGACACCCGACGAGACCTGGGGATCCCCTCTCCAGTTGAGAATTGTGTGTTGTATGTGTGGTGTTTTGTGCACGGTGGTATGCGTTTGTTATGTTCGGGTTCCGAGGCCCTTGGTCGCGTGCATCGACCTGTGTATTGGTGGTGGTGTGCTGACGGGGAGCCTGGACATTCCATCAATCATCAGTGGTGTACCAAGTTCCCCGCCTCGCCACCACATAGTGTGAGGTGTGGCGGAGTTGTGTCCGTACTGGGGTGCCTTATCCAGTACGTGAGGATTTGAGTTCTCCCCAAGAACCTTCCTAGGGGCGGTAGCCCTAGGGTGTGTATAGTGTTTGTGTGCTTATGTCAGTATGTGTGTTTGTGTGTTTTGTATGTGGACGCAGTTTACCCTCGTGCCCGGGAGGCTACTACAGGTATTACATTTATAAGAGTATATTAGCAAATGTTTTACCTGGCAAGTGAACTTATTGAACGAATTTTATTCACGCATATATTATATTTTAAAAATGCTGAGTGAATCCAAGATATAGTAAAGGTTGAATGAAAAGTTTAATATCAATTGAGTATATTTTCTCAGTAAATATTTATTCATAATTTTAACTAAATTATGGCAATTATAAGTCTGCTTAATAACATCAGGTTTCTATTCTTTTCAGACACTATGCCTATCATGTACAATAACCCTCTAAGTTCCGTCGCCCAGTTAAATGGTCATGAGTCATCACAGAAATTTACTAATTTTTTAACACATATAACTGTGCAGGTGGAAGTCATCGAATGTACTGTACTATATGCTGCATTTGCCTTTAATCAGTTTTGTAGGGATAAAAATAACGCTAGTTTGTATCATGTTTTCTTTCTTCAATCATTTTAACACTATCGCATCATTTTTCTAAATATTTTCAATTTGTAGCGTGTAATGGCTGTTCCTATTTTAACAATAGTGTATGTTGCGTGAACGTTGAACAATAGTTCTTTGCTCTAGCATATCAAAATATTGATATCTCCAAACTTTCACTACGTACAAGTGTACTCGGACTTTTTTTTTTTTTTTTTGGTTTGGGGAGTCCCCATTACCCATGACCCTAGTATTGGTGGAATAATGATACTAGCAGCGCAAAACCGGAACTCGGAATAGAGGCGGAGCGCACCGCCCCGGCACCACGAACGACGCCGAAAGGAGTGGGTGTACTCGGACTTACAAGAACCCAATAATTTAAGATACTGGCATTGGCTATTCAACCCCTTTCTAGAACGTTGAAACTATATATAATAAAAACAATTACTTGTCTGTACCGTATGTGTTTTCATAAAGTCCTTTTATTTTTACGCTGTCCGTTTTATTTTAAAGTCAAGTATCTATATATCCAAAGGTCATTTTTCACATAGAATTGGCTGATGCTATTGGAATTTTAATAAGCAGCCGAGTTAAGTCGACTGCTCAATTTTTTTTCCAAATTTAAAGTCTTATTTTTTCACACATTTTGAAAGTTCTTTCCATTATTAAAAATATCATGGATTCGTACTGGAGAAATTGAAATTGTCTTCAGAACTCGATAATTTGAATTTATCGTGTTAGTAACTAATTGTTGTTCTTTAACATATTATATTGTATTATAATAATCTATAATATATATCTATAATAATTACATTTTATAATATTCCGTAAACGTAAATAATAATAAAAAATAATAAACGTAAATTTACCCCTCCTCATCTGTTGTAACTTAAAATCAAAACAAAACACAAAACGTACTTTCATGGAAGACTGAAGATTACAATTGACAACATGACTATGATATTCAATTGCTCTTTCGTTTGACGTTATGTGTTGACAAAAGTTTTAATATATTTAAAAAAATTACGTATATATTTTTTATATTATATTTATTTTTTTATTATAATTTATTTATTTATGTTTTATTTGATTATGTATTTTTTATTTTTTTTATCTTTACTTTATTTTTGATTAGAATCAAAAATGTAGCACTATTGTTTAGTTATTTTATTTTTTATCTTTTTGTACATTGATATTTCCATTCTTTTCTAAATTCATATGAAAATTTTCTAACCACATCAGCTTTCCATTGTTGTACTTTTCTATTATTTTAACCTCTCCAAAATCTACTGTGTGTTTAGTCTCATCGATATGTTTTGATAAACCTGTGCAATCTACTTTATTAATAATATTTCTTTTGTGTTGGTTTAATTTTTTTTTTAATTGCATAGTTTTTCCAACTCATGTTTATTTTTACATGAACACATCACTTTATGTAGTTTATATTTTTGTAAAGGTTGTCTACATTGTCGGTTATATAGATTCAATTTTGTTTTTTAAATAATGTATGTAAAAAATGAATTGTTCCAGTAAATTTCTTTTCTTATCAATCTTTAAAATTCCATCTGTAAATTTTTCTTTGTATGCAACTCCTGTATATTGGCAAGACGTTGAAGTTTTCTTTCCAAACTCGTTGCAATTTCTGGTATAATTGATTGTTATTTTTTAGTTGGATTAAAAATATCAACACAAATAAAATTTGAATTTTTTATTCAATTTAATTTTCAATTTTTTCCTTTTTTTAAATAGTTAGTTACACAACAGATTGAAATTTTCGAGTTTTGAAGGAAAACTTCTTTATTTCCGTAACGAATCGACGATTATTCTGGTATGATTTTTTTAGAATGGAAAGAGCATTCAAAATGTGTGAACAAAATGGAACGATTTGAAAAGTAGTCTACGTAAAGAACCGCCTAGAACCTTCCTCAAGTTTTAAATGGTCAGCAATAAAATGGAAGAAATAAAACGCCGTCCATGTCTTTTATGAACGGTATAACTGGGGAGCTGTATGTTATATGCGTCCTTCTTCTTCAATATGAATTCTTCCTATCCGACAACCTTTTTGAAACTGCAACTGTCAATGGACTTGTCTTAAACTTTTTAGTTTTTGAATTCTTATTGTTTATTTGAATCAAGGTCGTGAAATATATATATTGGTTATAGGCCACGCTATGGTGAATTTAAAAGGGGATTCGAATCCGAGGGGGCGCTATTGTTCGGATAATGATAAGATGTTGTGAATGAAGTAGTAAAACTCCCTCCCTCGTTGAACCGGTCCTCCTCCCCTAGCGAGACCAAACAAACGCCTCTGCTTCACTTCCAGTCATCTCTCCGGTTCCAGACATGTGACTTCTCACACTTACTTTTTTATCCCGATTCGCGTCTTTAATGCCTACCGATCCAATTCTGCTTATGCGGTTTTACCAGATCAAAGTCCGACAAATCTCCGACAACAGGACGAGATAAGCCAGGTACGTCTAATTCGCATAATATGCAACAAAAAAATTCTGAAAACCAAATGTTTTTCACATAAACTAGGTAATATTTCTTTTCTTGAAATTAATTTGAAATTTTGTTTTAACACCCCTAGAGATACCTAAATATTCATTTTTGTTTGAATTGAAATTTAGCGATTTTTAGACCCCTAAATTTTTTCCGCTTTTTGAGAAGTCGTTGTCGGAAAATTTGATGGAAACTGCTATGGTTCAAAACGGCAGAAAGGATTTTAACGTTAAGGAGACCATTTGAAAGAAGAGGAACGAAACTTATTAAAATATATAAAATATTTCTATAAGACAATACACAAAATTTCAAAATTATTTGTCAAAAATTAACCTATTTTTATGGCCTAGTTTATTTGAAAAATATTTGTTTGTTAGAATTCTTTTATCATTGATAAACTTTGATGGTTTTTACTATATTTCTATTGCAATCAAAATAAAACGTTAATGTTGTAAAATGATATACTCACCTAGTTGGTTGAGCAAGTAGATCAGCGAAATTAAATAAATTAATTTCAAAAACGGAAAATTTCAACTTTAAATTATTTTGGGAAACCAGAGCCTATTAAAAAAATGGCAGATACGACCGATATTTTCGTGTGTAGAATCACCAAAAAAAAATGTTTGGTCCAAATCCAAAACCAACAAATTTGGTCGTCTCCTTGTTATATAATAACAAAAACTTTCAGAAAAGAATTTACTATCGTGTTTTAAATAATTAGTGTGAATAGAATAATGTGTTTATTTCAGAAATTTATTATCTCTTGATATCAATGTTGTTGTCCATTAATTGGTGGAAACAAAATTGGTTCATCATTACTGTGTGAATTTATGCTGTGCAAGCATCTCCAATTTGACAAGAAAAATTTAAGAAAAAATAAAATTTCTGCCGAATTAGAATAAAAATAGCAATAATGGAGGTGGGGTGAATATATCATTTTATTTATCGTAAAAGTATTATTCTACTCATAAACTTTTGTTTGTTATTTGATATGATTTTATGGCATTTAAATTGTAATAGAGTTGAACTGTAAGTTTTATTCAGCTTAGCAAGAAGGAATTTCGGGATTAAGTTGAATTTCAAGCATTGGGAATTGAACCCGATTGATTTCTTGACTTTCGAGCTTGACAGTCTTAATTTATAATAAAGTTTTAAAAGATCTTGTTTTCTAACAGGTTTTAGCGTTGGTGGTTGTAAATAAATGGTGTTAATATTGTTAATTGGGCTAAAATTTATTAAATACTTTGACTAGCAAATCAATAAAAATAATTGAGGTTGGAAAGAATAATTCTACTCAAAAACTGGAAAAAACATCTTTCAAACAATGTAATGTTAGTTTTTTGTCGACCTCCTGTCTTTAGTAAATTTTATGAAATGGTCATGTGATGATAGCACGTGTAATATTACATAATAAACTAAATTTATTCTTTTATATTTTCTTGTAAATTCAACGTTAAATAATTGTGAATAACTATGGTACACCGTTTTTTGTAAAGAACATATACATGTCTCAAAAGAACAATGTTTGTATATTATTATTATATAATAACAGCGTTCACCATTACGGATATACCCCCATTCCAATATAAATGCGAAGTTTGGCCTAAAACTCTACAGCATATGAAAAGATGGAATGTTGTGTAGTTTTGTGGGAAGTAACGACTTGTCATCCAGGTAAACATATTCAAGACAGTAGAGAAAAACACGACTTAACAGCTGGGAATTTAATTGAAGAGTAATTGTAAGGATATGATATAGAGGTATAATGGGTTCTAACAAATCCTAAGTGACATTCAGCGTCATGTAGCCGGGGACTGCTAGGGGCATCCGTCTTGTATGTGCCACTTTAGGATTTTGGGTTCGAATCCAGGCACAGCCCAAAGCTTTTTAATTGAGAATAGAAGGAAAGAAATGTTGTAAAGCGGTCTGGCCCCTTGACAGCGGCACCCAATGGCTACTTGTACGTTAAGCCATAATGCGTGACATGAATTATTTTTCTTAATTACATTTATGATAAAACGTTATGCTAGATTTAAATTAGTTATATATTATTATATTAAAACAATAAACTTAGCGTAACAGTTGTAGTGTGCACTGGACCATAATAGCGGTATAATTATATAATTGGACAATTTGATAATTTTCATCGAACTTTCTACTCTTTTTTACTTGTCTCATATTATTCTACGACCGATATTTGCCCGTTATTCATTTATCCTTATTTCGCCTCCACACTCTATTTTGCATGTCCAATTACTCCTGGAGTCAGTAATCATCAGCATATTCTCGGATTTGGTAAGCAAAGTGTGATTCCGGTAAAACGTGATGCACACACGGCTCAAGGGAACGAACGGTGCGGCAAATCGGAAATTGATTTTTAGGCTTAGTGCACACATGGTTTTCTTACCGTCCGGTACCGTTGCGGGGCCTTAGTCGAGGTCTGAACTAAAAAGTATCACAGTGGTTCGTGCACATGAGGTATTGCATCATGGGCATAACCCGTTTGAACGCAAATGCCCAAATAACTGCCCTTTTGGAGACATGCATTCTGAGTAGATTTCAGCGCAAGTTTCCTAAATCATGGCAGTTTGAACGCATCTAATAAATTAGATAAATTAACTAAATACAATTAATACTCAACTTACACAAATATGCACACAGTACGATATAGATTTAGAAGATTTTAATGAAATATCGGTGTAAGTTGGGAAAATTTATTTAAATAAAAAAATTAAGAAGTGAAATGAATGAATGAATGAAAAACAATTCAATGAATTAAAAGCCAGTCAAGGGCAAAATAATAAAACTTCTTAGATCAAATTATGTCTTACAGTATGTAAAAAAAAATTTAAACAGTATAAAATAATTTTTATAGCCAATAGAAAAAATTCGCGATATTTAAGACCTTATCAATGTCACATAAACGTACTCGTTACGTAATTTAAAACCGGTAGATGAATTAGTCATGTATATTGAGGCACATAATTAACACCCCCCCTTAACTTATGTATTGTTTTCAACATTAATTAAAATATGACTTATATAGAATGTTTGCATTTGCTTGTTTACCTATGTGCGGGTTATGATAGATATTTAATTATTTGCACAAGTTATAAAACTACACAACCACATGGTTAAATGTCTTTCGACCACAGGTTGTTCTATATTCAAAACAAATTTAGCACTTCATTTTTAATTAACAAAGTGCTTGCAAACGTTCCTTGCTTTGCAGCAATACCGATCAGTCGTCTTATCGTCTCAACTAACTCTGGCACTTTTTTTTTTCTTTTTTTTTTTGGCACGACTTCGAACGTCTACCGCTTAGCTATATTTGTATTCTATTGGTTTCTGAGACGCTAGAATTTGAGATTTCCAAGCAGGGATCTTCTGATTTTAGAACTTCAGTCGCTTGTGATAATCACACTGCTTGACGGCTTGTTGTTGTAATTCTATCTCATTATTATAAAACGATTTCCTCTTTCCGATTTACGTTTCATAAACACAAAACGTGAATGAGCAATAAAATTCTGGAACGTTAATTGCTTAATTAATTATATTAACACAGTCAGCGTTAATTTGTTGAACTGGAATTGAAAAAAAATCAAATGTTTAAGCCCCACTTTAAAACTGTAAGTCATCGCTTTCTTTGTGACTTTCTTGGCGCCCAGAAGGCTATATTGAAACGAAGTGAACCATTTAAGAAGTTCTGGCCGGTCGGCTAAGTTGAAAATATTGTTCTGGAAGTTAGTCAGTCAAGCAGACAGGCGTGATTTTCCATTTCACAACTTTTAAGTCGGTTTTATCAAATCAAGTGTTGCCGGCAGTGTATCTTAAAACTAGTTTTATCCAATAGTTTCTTAGAACAAAAGTATATTACTTGAAACAAATGATATACATTTTACTTATAATTTTTTTATTATTATACTTGAAAAATATACCTTCTGATCAATATTTATCAATATTTGAAAGCAAGATTTTCAAGCAATAATTTACTATTTACAATTTTTAACAACGATTGTACTTAAAAAAGTCATTCAATCATATTGAATTTTTTCGAGGCTGAACCATCTAACAGTTTCTTGCCTTGGTATCACCATAATCATGAATATGAAAAGTGGCTTATTGTTAGCTTAAATGTTTAACTGACTAAATTAAATCAAATTCATACAATGTTTTTCTTTGCTGTATTAATTTTTTTTAAATATTGATGTATGCTATTCTATCACAGCAATGATTTTGTCTTTTATTGAAACTAATGACAACTATAATAAGATACTGTACTGTTCTTTTTTCAAATATTCTATTATTATGGTTTTACTGTATAAAATATTGGTTTTTTAAACATTAATATTTATACGTTAAATGTTAAAAATGAAAATCTCCTTTAATTAAACATCTATTGTAATAAATTGTTCAGTAGTATAATGGTACATAATACGAAGTTTGAGGATCTGATTTATTATACATTATAAATATTTGCTAGTGAGAATGATGATGAAAAAAATTGGTGATAAATTTATCCAAATGAATTTATACATGAGTAACATTTTATGCTAGATTTTAGCTTTTACTGGGTATTAGAATGGAGTTTCACAACAAAACAAATCATACGACACCACGTGAGCATTGCCAATAATAATACAACGAAACTGGACCACACCTGGACTCACATGCCACCATATCAATGAGCCAGGGACACAGCCGGACATTTGACGAAGTTAAAAACATTCTCTTCATAAAATGTTTACACGAAAAAATGTCCTGTGTTGGCACGGGTTTTGAACATTTTTTTATTTAACCAAAACGTGAAATATTTGTCGTTGTAACTTGCTAACGAGATGAATTTTTTTCAATAGAGGCTACTTTGAAGTGTGAAGTAAATCCTAAAAATATTTTAATTATTTACTTTAGTAAATTATAAAGTAATTGTTACTAAAATAAAAATTAATAATACGTGCATACAGTGTTG